CATGAACGCATTCGGTGTGATGAACGCTGTCTCCCCAGTAATCGATCTAACCAACTCCCCTCAGCTGTCTCCACATCCTCTGCTCTTCCTACTGGTAAAATGGAGAAGCCACCGCTCCTCTCCCGTGTAGGTCAGCGGCTCCCACAGGTGCCCTAGGTGACACTGCCCCCCAACCGAGGATTTCCCTCATACATGTATACAGTTTGCGTCCTGCTTCTCCGCCATGTACCCCGTCTCCATCCTCCACCGCCACCTGTATCTCCCTCTGGGTCATTCATCCACACACAAACATGCTGTCACGTCTCCATCTTTCAAAAACATCCTCTTGATCTTACACTACGAAGTGTCCCGTTTTCCTGTTTGTCCCGACAGTGACAGTTGGAAGAGTTTCGGTCTGTATTATTTCCTCTCGCTCACATCCAAGTCTCTCCGGAACCTCCTCTGAAAACGCTTTCCTGCCAACCCCTTCCTTCCGAGGTCACTGTGACTTCCACCTGCCAAGTCCAAGGGTCGGTTCTCCACCCTCATCTCCATTAGATGAGAACGTAAGAGTCTGGTGTGGATACAAAGACTGGAGGCCAAGATGACTTGGACCAAGTTCACGGTTGCTTTGCTTCCATTTACTGCCGGATATTTCGGCAAACGGGGGAGGCTAAGGGCACAAGCAACGGCATGGATGCGGCTTCCCGGCCCCTCCCTGGCTCCTCGCAGAGGAGGACTTGACGTGTGAAGGCGCACTCAGCCTGCAGGGACCGGGGAGGCCACCAAGCCAGAAGGGCAACAGCTGCGGTCACGCTGCCTTTCCCGCCATGAGGCCGGATGCGCTGCCTCGTGGCGATGGAAGGGAGATCTCACTGCCCGTCACCAGCCCCTGCGTCCAGTGCTCACTGTGTCCCTGGGCTGCCTCACAGCGGCTGAGCTGTAGACTCAACCTCGACCTTCTCAGTCCCCCTCCTTGACCTCTCACAGCAGCGGACACAGCTCTTCACTGTGTCCTTCCTGAGGCCCGCTCTTCCCACGGCCCCAGGAAGACCCCGTGGTTCTCTGTCCTGCTTGGTCACCTCTGCGTTTTTCTCCTTCCTGGGCTATGTCCTCCATCCTCCTTCTCTTCTCTGCCTTCATGGAGCTCTTCCATGATGTCAGCTTAGGAACTGGATACTATCTGAATTAGTTCCCCAAGGCTGCCCCAACACTTTACCACAAATTGGTGGCTTACAACAGCAGGGACCCATTGTCTCACAGTTCTGGAGGTGGAAGTCTGCACTGAAGGTAGCCAGGGGCCGCAATCACTCCCTCAGAAGGCCCTAGAGGGGGGCCCTTCCTGGCCTCTTCCAACTTCTGGTGGCTCCTGGCTCCTTGGCGGTGGCCGCACAGCGCCAATGTCCACCCACATCTCACGTGACCTTCCCAGTGTCTCTCCGAGCTCCCTCTCTTTTCTCTTACAAAGACTGGCCATTGGGTGTTAAGGTCCGTCTTAAATCCAGGATGATCTTATTTCAAGATTCTTAATTCCATCTCTTAAGACCCCATCTCCAAACAAGAACACATTCACAGGTATGGAAGCGGGGGGGCGAGGGGCCTTAGACACATCTTTTTGGAAGATGCCATTCAACTCACTATCCACGTCTAGGCTGCTATCTCCCAGATTCACAGCTCCAGTTTGGAAACCCTCCCTGACATTCCCATCTCTAACATCGCTACTAATAAACGTTTCAAATGTCACGTTTCTAAGAGGACTCTCCATTACTCCCCGGACATTTTCCTCTCCTAGTGTTCCTAATCGCCGTAAATAACATTGCCATCCAACCGGCTCCTTCATTAAGACTCTGCGTCACCCCGACTTCTCGCTTTGACCGGCAGCAAACCCTGGGGGCACTGTCAGCTCCTCTTTCAGGGGGTGTCTGGGCTCTGGCAGCGTCTCCCCCACCCATCGCTGCCCTACTCCAAGTGGCACCCACACCTCCCCCGTCACGCCCCCCAACCTCTTCGCAGGCCCGATCGAACGGCACCCCCTCCCTACACGGGCCCCTCTCGGTCGTTCCTTCTCACAGCAGGCGGGCCGCCGCACGGAGGCACAAACGGGGCCCCCCCCCCGCCCCAGCCCCCGTGGCTTCTCGTCGCACGCTGGGCAGCATGCGCTCCTCCTCACGGCCCAGAGTGGACCGGGGTCGTTTTTACTTTTATGATCCATTATTAAAATACTCGAAACAGTTCTATTATAAGGCTAAGTGTCAGCAAGCCTCATTAAGTCCTACTAGTGTAAGCAGCAGTTTGGATTCCAGAAAGCTACTGGTTGTTTTACTACGGGCTTATTATCACTCTAAACTATGGACAGTGAATAAAATAGGAAAGAGTATCCTTTGAATCTTTTCAAGAGGAAAATAATTGCTGGCCTTTGGTTGGCCGTTGGAGTTAGAAGTATCTTAACAAATACATTTATCTTATTCAGTTATCACAGCGACCTTTTGAGATAAAGTGTATTACAATTTCATTTTAGAGATGAGGTAACAGGGTTCAAAGAAGTTACATAACTTGCCGAAGGATCTACAGGCAGGAAGGGAAAGATCCGCTTCCAAACCCTGTGGTCTCTCATCTGCACCACGTACTGAACGAAGCGACGGACGGCGGAGCGGCCTGTGAGGTAGAGAGGGCACCAGGCGAGGAGGGAGGGGCGCCCACGAGTGCCCTGTGTGGCCAGAGGCCTGTAACTCAACACGGTCACATCGCCCAAATAAGCCTCCTCACTCCAGCGAAACTCACGTTCTTCTGGTGAAACTAAAGCCGAAGTGTGTAAGAGTACTTTGAAAAGTTTGGATGACTCTACAGGGCAAAAAATTTGTAAAACTTTATGTAATTATGATGACTAGGAGTCCAATCTTTTAAACTGGACAGCCATTCCCCTTGAGGCAGGACAAAAAATTCTCATTTAGGCAGTAAAAATGTTTCACAAATGATGCAAAAGAGTAGCTTGAGCTTTGTGTAGTCAACAAATTTGTGACATTCAATATATACTGGGAGAATAATTCATCATAAAACTCATGTCAATATACAACATGCATAAGTATTTCCCAAAATATTTATTTTGGAAAATCATTCATTTTGAATATCATTATGCAAATAACTTAATACTAACTTATCAACATGAACTTCCTTCCCAAGTGTATATTTAAATACACCCAGAGGTGAAAATGGCCTTAATTTAGTACAAAGTAGCTACTGCCTAAAATAAACCACCTCTCAGAAGACAATATAATTATGTACCTTGGTGGATCAGATTATAATTCAGGCCTGGAATAAAGAAATGGTCCTCTATTGTCTAAATAGGTCGTCCTTGTCAAGCAAGGACAAAGCTTCCAGCAAGACAGACAGAAAGTGCTGAAACAGGCCCCCGGCACAGAGACCACACAGCCGTGAAGACCGACAGCGCAGCAGGCGTGACGAGCAGATTTCCCCTGTTATCCCAGTTCACGTGTCTTTCAAATGAAAATTTCCTGATTATGAAAGTTATGTAAGATCAGAATGAGGAGTAATGAAATGAAACACGAAATGGTGGAATTGGAACCTCTAAAAAGCACATTCCTCCCGAAAAGCAGTAAGAACACAGGCAAAATTAACTTTTTCAGAACTCTGGAAATTAATCCAAGGCTTACAACAAGCCGACGGGTGTTTAATGCACAAGAATGGCTGAAACCCGTAAGAACAGTGAGATTTGTGGCGTCTGAACTCCCCCATCCCACCCCGCTCTCCTTAGCTCTGCAGCAGAACCAACCCCCCCATCACAGCGGACCCAAGCAGCCGGCCAATCAGCCTGTCGCAAAGCATGCCAATCCCACTCACGTACACAGAGAGCTCCCCTCAGCTTTCCAGTGCTCTGCTCTTGTATCTGAACGAGCAGCAAAAGATCACCAATCACTTGAGAATGGTCTCTGAGATCAAAGACAATGACCAGAACACCCAACCAGGGAAAACGGACACGAGCCGTCGCAGAACACAAAAGGAAACCTCAAAAGGCTCTCGTTAAAATCTTCAGAGAGGGTACTGCATGAGAAACCAAGAGCTCAAAGTCCTGGAAAAAATAAAAATAACATTCACAAAATAGGAAAATGCTGTTGAAACTTAGGATGCTACATCAGAAATGAAAATTTTATTAGAGGAGCTGAAGGTAAAGTTGAGTGAGCCCTAAAAAAAGGGGAAGAGAAGAAGAAACAGGTGGTGGGGGGGGGGGAGGCATTACAGTAATCCAGGAGTTCTAATGTGCTAATGATAAGAATTCCAGAGGAGAATAGAGAAAATGGGGCAATTAATGATCAAAAAAGAAGAATTCCTAGAATCGGGACCGTGCATCTCCACACTGACCAGGCCCCTCACTGAGCGCACATCCAGAGTTCTTGGGACAGACACACACGGAGACCCATCACTGGAGTCCCTGGAGATAAACTGTTACTACTCAGCTCAGAGAAAGAAATAAAAAAAGAAAAAAAAAAAAAAAAAAAACCAACCCGGATCATCAACATAAATGAGGGACTTTTCTGGATTTTAAAATGCCAATAACAGATAAATCCCTGCTTTTATAATATATATTTATGTCAAGTAATTATAAGCTAAGTATCTTACATGCATTAATAGAGCTTCCTGTTTTACAGAACTAAAAAACATGATTTTTGGGGGGGAGTGTATTTTAGTAACTCTTATAATAACAATGGAGACTGAATTCTGTACCAGAAGTTTATTTCACTGGCTTTTTAAAATAAGCAGTTCATGAAGAATAGAAATGTCTATTTCCTTAGATTTCCGTTAATCGTACAGTCTTTTGCGTAGGTTTAGGCTTTATTCCCTATTTTTCTTTCGGCATCTTAAATACAAAAGCCCTTGCAATATTAATGATGGCAAATTTAACTCATAAGGAATTCAAGTCATGAGAACTGGTGTCACCTCGAACGACAGCCAAGCTCGTGACACTGTCCCCTAACCCCCGTCCACCGTCGGGGCCGCACGCTCACCTTGCGGGTCCACCTCCTTGGCCAGCTTCAGTGCGTCGGAGTTTGCCAGGTCGGTATTGGCCGGGGTGACAGCCAGGATCAGGCAGTTCTCCCGCGTGATGAACTGCAGAATCATTTCTCTGATCTGATGCTCGATATCTGCCGGCTGGTCCCCCACGGGCACCTTCGTGATCCCCGGCAGGTCGATGAGGGTGAGATTTAAGACTGTGCGCAAAGGAGAGAGGAAGAGTCTTACAGGCACCCTCGGTGCTAAATGCTGTCAACAGTGCAGCCTCCCCTGTCACTCAAGTGGAAATTTAAAAAGCTCAGCTTTATAGAGGCTGCATCTGAGTAACCCCCGCTCAGGCGTACAGAATAAAAAGCGAAGACTACAAAACGGCTTTGCAAGCTTTCGCTATTTTTATAATATGATTGTGCTGTGGCGAATGATCGTTTTAACATAATTTGAAAGGCACTGATTCGCGTGCTTGGCAGCTCCTCAGAGAGCTGTCACGCCCGTAACCAAGGGGCTGTAAGTGAGCGCTGACCAGGGCGCGCGCTGCCTACGGGCTCACGCCACACACGGTGCACTGGCTGCCTTCGAGAGGCACCAAGCTCGCAGGACAGGATGTCCTTCCCCTCACAAGCATCGCGTGTTATTTACAGATGGGAGCCACTCAGCCTGTGGCAAAGCTGTTGGCCACTCAGGGTGCCATGAGGTGACTGCAGGGGCCACGCAGCCAGTCTCAGCGAGGGGACGCCGTTCAGAAGAGCAGGAAACTGCCCCTGACTCAGTGACCCCAGCTCCGACCTGGCCTTCGTTCTCTGCACAGAGGAGCATTGCCCCAAGTCTTCTTGGGACATCGCAATGGAGCCTACGTCATTCGGGCTCCATTTAACAAGCAGCAGAGCGGAAAGAACATTACAGACTTAAGCCCACCCACTAAAACTTTAGTCAGGGCGGAGACCATGGCCCGCCCTACACCGTGAAGCAGCCACGCGCATTACAGGCTGCTGCCGAGAGCCCGGAAAACAAACGGCAGGCGCTCGCTCAGGGAGCGCGCACAGGGCTGCAGGAAACTCCAACAGGGACAAGCGCTGCGAAGGCTTTTGCAAAGACGGAAGGTATTTAAAAATGGAAGGTTTTATGCATACCTCTTTGGAAATCTGAAAGCTTAAAATCAACATGAAGAAAACAATTTTTAATGACTTATTCAATTCTGCTCTTTTTAAAAGTCATCTCCTCCTCCCTAGGTTAACAAACCTATGAGCTCTTCGGACCACACCATTGACGGCAGTTTCCACACACTCTCCTGGAACCCAGTACATTTTCAGAGAAAAAACCAGCTTCTACACAAATGATGTCTGTTCACTAATGTGGTAGAAGCATTTGCGGACAAGAGCTTGGTTATCTCCTTACCGTGTGGAGAGTAGACTCGCAAGTTGATGGGAATGGAGGAAATGCCCTTGTTCATGCCGGTCACGCGGTCTGTCTCTGCTTCAATCTCATGGCGAACTTCATCAAAATCTGTAAACTTTCTTCCTTTGCAATGAAGAAACTCAGCATATTCTACAAAAAGACAAATTAATACACCCTAAAGTCATTCACTCTTGCAGTAAGTACACGGAAACAATGTTTCATTGATTACAAGTCACGGTATCCAATATTGTCTCTTCAGCGTTCAACTTTTATGGCACCAGGGGCCAGTTTCGTGGAAGACAATTTTTCATTTTTCCACGGATGGGGGGCGGGGAGGGGACCAGGGGGAGGACAGGAGGCTGAGCTCAGGCAGTAATACAAACAAAGCTTCGCTGGCTTGCCCACCGCTCACCTCCCGCTGTGCGGCCCAGTTCCTTACAGGCCATGGACTGGCACAGGTCTGCAGCCGGGGGCTGGGGCCCTGGTCTTAAGCCATCAAAACAAGAGAGTGCAGTAGTTACAAATAAGCACTATTAATACTTTAGAAATATTAAACACATTACAAAGGCCAAAGGTGCTAAATTTGCTAATGTTCAGGCAAGCAATGAAGAATTATTATAAGCAGGACTTAAACCTCTAGCCCACTAAACACTTTAAAGAGGATTTGGGTCCTCAGAATGATAAAACAAACAACGGCACCTGCCGGTCAGAGAAATTCGATGGAGGGCACACAGGAGGCCTGGCCACTAACCCTACCAGCTCACTCTTCTCCAGTATCACCGCTTCGTTATGGTGGGATACTAAGTTACACAAACACAGCTTCAGAAGGCAAGAAGATTTAGAAACCCAGTGTCCTTCATTCTTTAAGAAGAAAGAGTACGTGGAGTAATTGAGCTTTACAACTTACTACTCAAAATACCACACCAACTTCTATAACTTAAAAGGTATTTTCTCAAAGAAACTAAGTGTGTAACATATAAATATCAAAGAAAATACCTGCAATCTAAAAATAATCATTATCTGTAGGCAGAAGGAAATACTCTAAAATAACCATACAATATGCAGAAAATTTATTTTTTTAAATTTCAGCAGCATCCTACCAACTGCTGTACTACCAATTTCTACACCTGCTTTCCTTGATACCAAGTGAGTGATAAACAATACGGCTCAAAAAAAGAAGCTGATACTATTGGACCTAAAATATTTATCATTTTTACAAGGGAACAAATCTTAACAAATACTGTAGCCTCTCTAATAGCATTAGAGAAGCACTGCTCCACGGGGCTGCTTGGGCCCCGGGGGCGCCAGCGGGGGCCGCCTTCCGCGGTCTTCCCCGACGCCCCGTGCCAGTATGTAGCCCGCGCCCCCCACGGCCAGGCCAATGGGTGGGTAACTATAAGATGCGGCGCCCGTCTTCAGGCAGCTGAGCAACAGCTTGGGGGCTAAGGCCCGCATCACAGAGGAAAAACGTTACCATGGGCCGCACGGAGGAAGCACTGATGTTCATTTAAAGTGAAAGGAAAGGTAGAGACAGAAAAGATGGCTTCCAGCGGCAGCACTCAAAAAACCGTAACAAGGTATCAACTGAGCGCAAAAGAGCGCGGAGGGTTTCAGCGTGCGCAGACAGAAAGCGAGGAATCGGAGAATCTTAACGTCACCCAACCCCTGGCAGGTTAACCGTCCAGCCTCTGCTAACCCACCGGATGAGGAACCGAGACCGTGGCCTCTCTGAAAACAAACCCTTCTTGGGGGATGCTGTTACAACAACGTTGGCATGGAATCTGCTTTCTGATCATACTCCACTGCTCCAAGTCTGGCCCCTGGACGACCCCAAGTCTCCCTGCGCGTGAAAAGGCGGGATTGGCGGGGCGCGACACGCGGGCCTCTCCCTGGGCCTCTCGCCCCGCCCTGCCCCTGCCAGCCGGCCCACCGTGGCCTCCCTGTGGCGGCACGCCCCGCCCAGCGCCCCCCACCCTCGCGGGCTGCGCCGGGCTGGCAGGGCCGCGGGCTCCAGAAGCCAACTCACGAGTCTGCGCTTCCATTCTCCAGGCCCCGTGAAGACCTGCTTGGTCCAGAGTCTGACAGACAGAGGCTAATCTCTGTCTCTCCTGTCGGAGTGCACGGGCACGGCTGTTCCTTTCTAGGCTTCTCCGTGTAGCTCTCTGTGCACTTCCTGGAGAAGGGCCCCTGAGACCCCGAGAACGCACGGCCCGGGCGAGGGGCGCGTGGCGCCAAAGCTCTGCGGCCTTCACGGGTCCGGCCGCCAGGCTGCGGTGCAGGGCCAGCTCCCCACGCCACCCCTCTCATTAGATCGTAAACTCTCGGAAGACAGGGCCGTACTAGCCCACTTGTCAGCTAGGCCGGTGGGTGCAGTGTGAACGGGAAGAGTTTAAAGACAAATAGAGGATAGAGATAATGGGAAAAATAAACAAAGGCTGTCAAATCCCAGAAAACAAAAATAAGTAAAAATGAGTCATAAATAATTTAGAAGACATGGAACTGCACTTTTTAGATCAATAAATTCTGTGGGGAATTCACACTTGAGGACTGTGACTTTCTTAAGTATTATTTTCATAGAATTAATAAGCGTCTCAATCAGGGACCACGTTTTCATCGATAATGCAAGTAATGCAAGTGTGGTCCTCTCTTGTTGCCACTAGATGGCGCCTACTGGCTTTCTCTATAGGAACCTGATGCCCTTCCAAAGGGTTGTACCAATCAATGTAATTTTCAAATTAGGTTTAAACTCCTTCCTGGACCCCTAAACATGCTCGTATCTTGGAATTGAATTGAAGAGATTACAGCTGAGCCAAATCATCTGGAACCTGTGTGTCCTTTTACGGATAGGCTCCCACAGATAGATTTAGGGATGCCTGTGTGTTTTAACTAATGTATAATCAATGGAGCTCCTTTTTACCAGACAGGCACTATTTTAGAAACTGGGGATATGGCAGAGAGGAAAAAAGTAAGTGTCTAGCCTCATGAAGCTTCAATTCTAATGACAAGAAACAATAAACAAGGTCTGTGTGCATCGATGCCGGGGGAGAGGGGTTACTTCGTCACAAGCTTTGGGTGAGAACGGCTTCTCTGATACGGTGAAGCGACATTCGAGCCGAGACTCGAGGAGGAGGAAGCAAGCATCCCGGCCGGCGCTCGCAGCAGACGCGCTGGGCACGCTGGAGGATCGGCAGGGCGGCCGGGCCAGAGCACAGGCAGGAGGTGAGGCCCGAGCGGTGGCACAGGCCTGGGCGGTCTGTGCAGGACCTGAGGCCATTTTCAGGACCTTGCTTTTTACTGAGTGATCAGCAGACCATTTGAAGGGTTTGGGGTAGAGAGAGAGCACCATGTGACCTGGGTTCCAACCAGGTGAGTGTGGCTGCTGTGTCAGGAAGGGACAGTGAGGAGCAAAAGAGGAAGCTGGGCTTCGGTAAATGGGGGTGGGGGAGGAAGGGCTTGGACCCGGGTAGCCGCAGTGAGAGGGGTGAGGCATGGTTAAATTCGAATGCATTTCGAGGGGAAAGCCAGCAGGATTTGCTGATGGATTGAAGGTGGAGTGTGGGAGAAAAAGGAGAGTCAAGGGTAACTTCAAGAAGTTTGACCTCGGGAAGGGGAAGAACTTTGAAACAGAGAAGACTAAACGAAGAGGCTGGAGGGATGGGGGGCCGGGCGCCGAGTCCAGCTGGGAGCCTGCGAGCCCGTCAGGCTCGCGGCCGGCGGAGCGACAGCTGCTGACAGTGGTCAGGGCCACACGGCCGCACGGGACACCGTCACAGTCATTTACGAGAGGTGTGTTTATCCTGAAAAATTTCCAGAAGAGGGCAGTGGAGTGCGTGAGGAAAAAGGCAGCTTTTTATAATTAGCACAAAAATGCCTTCAGGGCTGGATCCACGAGTCTTTCATCCAGGGAGAGGTCTAAGCCAGAGACGTATATTTGGAATTCATTACAGTCGGGCAAGCGGGTGAGATACTTTCTTCAGTATTGGGGAGAGGGGGTCAGAGCGCTGCGCCCTGGGCTGTCCCACATTCAGAGGCGAGGGGAGGAGCAGAAGTGTCAGCGAGACAGAAGGAAAACCCAGGGCGGCCTAGAGCCCAGAGGGCGTGCCTGGAAGAATGGCGGCCCTCCACTCCATCAGACACAACCGATGTGGCAGGAGAAGACGGAGAATGGGTCACAGGGCCGGGCAACTGGAGGGGCCTTTGGGGTTGCCAAGAGCTGTCTCAGAGCAGTGGAGTGGGGTGGGGGACTCTGGAGCAGACAGAGAGAATGGGAGGAGAGGGAGTGGAAACTCATTATAGACAGTTCTTCCAAGAAAGTTTACTGTAAAAAAGAGGGAAAAAGTTGGGGGGGGGCGGCGCTGAGCCCATTCCCACAGGCCTGGCCCCGTGCGCCTCCCCCACCCTGGCTGGTCCTGAGCTGTGTCCCTGTACAGCCAATTGGTAAGCTAGTAAGGAAAACGTTCCTCTGAGTTCCGTGAGACGTTCTAGCCAATTAATTGAACCCAAGAAGGTCATGGGCACATCTACTTAACTTACACGCAGTGGGTCAGAAGTACAGGTGACCGGCTGGACTTGTAATGGGCATTTGGGGCGGGGGCGGTCCACTGGAACCTCCAGTTTGTAGCCAGAGTGTTGAAGCCTAGGCTTGGGACTGGTGGCTGAAATAGGGGTGGCAGGGGACAGGGCAGTTTTATATGGCTGAGCCATCAACCTGTGGGACCTTGCGCTACCTCAGGGCAGACAGTGTCCGGATCGCATTGGGCTGCAGGGCGCCCAGCTGGTCCTGGAGATCGGCTTGTTGGGAGGGGACAGCCCAGCCACCACCACAATGGAATCGGGCTCCAGACCCAAAGAAGGCAAGAAGCACAAAATACTTTTCCTATGGGTCCCAAAGAGCCTCCTGGGAAATAATTTATCCTTCAGAGCAGGAGCAACTAGCTGATCACTAGCTAGACTTTTCAAGAGCTAAGAAAGGCGAGTCTTCTGAGGTTTTTATACAACAGTGAACTAACATGGCTGAAGGCCTAACAAACCTCATCTGTGGTTCTGAGATATGTTCTTCTTCATAGAAAGGTACAGTTGCCAATGGTACGGCTCTCCTGGCTTGTCCTGTGTCCCTTGCATTCCAAATGTTTGGTTGATGGGCATGTGAA